AACACATTTCATTACACCAAATACACAAAATAATGTTCTTTTTAGCAGCATCATATGACCCCTTTAAATATGTGACAGCAAAGCTCTATAGGTGTCATTGTTTTCCCTTAAAGGAACAATTCTGTCATCAATTATTCATACTTACTAAACCTGTATGACTATCTTTCTCCTGTGAAACGAGACATTTCGATCAGTTGTTTTTGCTCACACATTTAAAGTCAGTTGGGTCGAAAACAACACTGGAAACCCATTGACTTTCATTGGATGGACATTGGAGACATTTTTCACAATGCCTATTTTTGTGTTTTTCAACTATCCCTTTAAGCTATGTATGTGAACCCTAATGTAATATGGGTCATTTGATGTGAATTATGAAACTAATGCCAACACTGATATGTGGTTTAAAATGGCTATATTCTTATCATTTGCATGACACAAACTTCACAAATCAGCCTGAAATCATCAGAGACTTTATTAAAAAATAAACCTCATTGTGGGTTTGCATATTCAGATCTACCTGTTCAGTTTGACGTCAGCAAGACATGAGATCTTTCTCACAAAAGAGAAGAACTTTTTTTTTTTTTCTGATATGACTCATTATCTACTTGTTAGTCGTATAATAAACCACCAATAATGATGCACATAGTATCTGACTCTTCTTTCTGATTTCGGTTTGTTTATATAATATGCACATACAGTATAATATACTGTACATATATAATAACCACTGCAGCGTTCCTTCTTTCTGTGATGTAAGACCTTTTGATTTCATGTCCATTAGTGTCATGTTCATCCAGTCCCTGCAGATCAGGCACTATGCTACAGTATATCACTAACACGGGCCCTTAATGGATCATGGACTGTAAGGTAAAAGCAGAAAGCTGTTTTCACTCTGTTGAACTCTGAGGTATTTTTTCCTTTCATAGCATCATAGGTCAGACACATGCCACTTCACTGCAGTATAAATAAACAAGGAATATATATGAATTAAAAACATTTAAAATAAATGTTGTTGAACAAAACATTTGATTCACAGATTTGAATATGTACACTTATTAAGTACGGTATTTATAACATACAGCCTAGTATTAAGTGTATTATAGCTGATCTATCATCCCAGAGACTTCTTTATCTTGATGATTGGTTTCTATAAAGAAAACCTCATTTTGTCTTTCTTTTTGTTTAGTTTGAATTTTCTTAATAAGGAACTCGACCCTTCTCTCCTCCTGCTGCTGGAAGAAAGAAGCTGCTACTTTCCTCCGAAAGCGTCGAGCGTAGACCTCCAGCGGCAGCAGGGTGTAGCTGAACAGATAGAGGAACACCAGCGCCGTCACTACACTTGGGTTCAGCTTGCTGGATTGAGCCTCACACACGTTTGGATCAGAGTGAATGAGGGCTGTGTAAGTTCTGTTGAAGTTGAACAATTCTAGCTGACAGTCTGAGTTCAAGATCTGACAAATGGCCACTTCTGTTCCAACCTAAGAAGATTAGAAAGATAGAGGGGAAGAGAAGAGAGAATCGTTATTATTTTTCACAATGGTGAACAGTAACTGGCCTATTTACTTTATCTCCTTCTACTTAAAGGGATAGTTCACCAAAAATTAAAATTCTGAAAACGTTGTTCCAGACCTGTAAGAATTACTTTCTTCTGTTGAACACAAAAGATGATATTTTGAAGAATGTTGGTAACCAAACAGTTGACGGTAGCCACTGACTTCCAAAGTATCTATGAAGTGTGTTTGACTTTGACTTCCAGTTTACTTTGACTTTTTATCATTTACTTAATTACTGTACATTAGTATAAATTTAACAACAATGCTTATTCTACATTTACATGTATGCAGTAAGCAGAGGCTTTTATCCAAAGCAAATTACAAATGAGGAACAATCGCAATTGGTCAAAGACTCATTTCTTGGAATTATATTTCATCAGGATATCTTTAAGGAGAAACTGGTGGAGTGGTTTACCTTGAGGTTGACATTGATGCTGATGTTGGTGGATGGCATGTTTGAAATCCAAGGCCCACCTGTTTTCACCAAGTAATACAAGAAAAGGTCCAGCACTATCAAAAAGACTGTCATTAGCAGGTACAGAGTGATCACCATTGCTGGAGCCAGACATTTGAAAAGTTCCTTTTTAGTTATTCTGAAACTGGTGGAGTTTACTCCATTTTTCACATCCTTTGCTTCAACCACAATTCCTTTTTCAGCTCCTTTCCTCCTGAGCCCACCTGTGATATACGTGTTGTCAAATCTTACAGATGTCAGATAAGACCGAAGGTACATTACAGACTCGCTGAACAAATACAAAACAAAACCAGCAGCAAAGATCCTGCTGAATAGCAGCTTCAGGTCCTGTACTTGACTTATAACTTCAGAGAAATCCTCCTGCACTCGCTGACTCAACACATGCAACCGTCCCTTCACTTCCGAGACATTAATATGTGTGGTGTGATCAAAATCATGCAGCGTTTGCACTAAACTCCCATCCACGCTCTCCTCGGCTCTTCTGACGATATTGTCTTTAATGGTGTTGATGAGGTTTGAGCTGCTTAGGAGACTTTGAGAGAGTTTTTCTGATGCACATTTCACAACATGTGTGAGAGTTGCAATGTTGGTGGCCATGTTGGGTAGGACAAACAGCACTACGATCATCATGGATGCGGACAAGAGCAGTTTACGGCCCTGTCGGGTGAACAACGTCGGGAAGATTAGCGTGAAGGCACATCGGAACGGATGGATGAGAGATGACAGGATAAACACAGCTGTGGCATAGATACCAACTGCAACCAATGCTGTCTGGATGTCATATTTTAAAAGGTCTATGAGCCAGTGGAAAAGTAGTGAAGCAGTTACAGCAGCCAATGAGAGACAGAGAACAAGTAGGGCGAGCAGGTGACTTGCACTCTGAGGAGTCGGAGAAGAGTAACACAACCACAGCGCCTCCATACTGCTCCTCACTGAGGCTCTAACACACACAAACAAATAAATAGTAAAGACATGATCAATTAGTATATAAAGAGAGTTAGAAATGAGACGAAAGGAAAATGTTTATCTCTGTAGGATAGCTGAATGAGTCTTTATTGGCTTATATCGCTTACAGCAGTTTTAATAGAAAATGAACCATTTAAGCAAATTAAATCGCTTCTATAAACTAAAAGGGGGAAAAATAATATCATTTACTCACCTGCAAGTCTTTTGAAACCCATTTAACTTTATTTCTTTAGTGGAACAGAAAGGAAGTATTTACTGTAAAAATTCCAGTCTGCTGTTTCCGTGCAATGAAGGTAAATGACATTTAGATTATTTCTATGAATAACAACCTACAAAGTACATGAACTATTATGATACATTAATGGTTTATGGTTTTTCTTTTTGCAGCTTGACAGCCACTGGTCCCCATCTACTTTTATTGTATGACAGAATAGCTTTGACATTCTAGAAAACATTTATTGTTTTCAACAGAAGAAAAAAAGTCAAACAGATTTCGAAAGACATGAGGATGTGTAAACATAATTTTGTGGGGGAATATCCTATTGATAATATCAACTGACAAAAAAGACAAACAAATAGCAAGTTTCATTATGAAACATTTGATTACTGAACCCACTGAACTTTATTTCACAGAACGTTATATTACATATTGTAATGAATTGCTATATTAACAGCAATAGCAAAATCAACAACTACATATTTCATATATAGTGCAATAATATTTCTCAGTATTTACATGAGAACACAATGTTACCGCTAATCTAATACAGCCTATTTCCACTTTGTCCACTTCCATTTGCTTCTTGTTCAATTATAATGATAATCAATAAATGTCTCTATTTGGAAGCACGTCTTTTATAATTGCAGAAATATTGACATACCTGAGGGACAAAATAGAGAGATGGTAGTTTCTTAAAGGCATCATTGCTGTTGGTTAAATGGAGGCTTGAATAAGATCATGGATTTATCTCTACATTAAAAGGTTGGTCATAATAGCAGAACTGGCCAGCTTCATATTGAGCGGGGCACTGAATACACACATATTTATATACACCCAATCCTATGACTCTGAGCTGGATGCTGAACACACATGCACACTGACTCATTCAGTTGCTCAGATTCACATGAAACCCAAACACCGGTCACACTGCACATCCTCTAACATGGTCACTTACACAACACCACATGACATGGCAGAAAAAAACAAAACTGCTTTTTTCTTGAACCTTAAAAGGAAGATATACAAAAACATATGTTTAAAAGGGAAGTCGGTAAATACTGTGCTTGCTGGTTTCAAGTGGTTTTTATAAAATATGTACTGTTTTGGTCTTCTGTGCTCTTATGTTACCATTTCCCATAATCCCACACAGTATTTTCTCCTGTTCTGTACCTGCAGTGGTCATATTTTTTTATTATATATGGATTTTTTCATATGGATTTAAGTGTTAAATCGGTCACTGGGTCCATTTAGAGGTTCGCCAATAACTTTACATCATTTTGATGGATCAATGCTTTAATTGGGACATATGGACAATGAACACAAGATCACAACAACAGAAAATAGAAATGTTACATAATTAATAATTACTGCATAAATACAACAAATTTACAACATCAATACAAATTACATTAAAACAACACATTTACAATCTAAAAAAACAGATGCAGAGGATACTTTATTAAAAATGTTGAGATTTGCATAAAAGATTTTAACATCTTGAATTTAACTTGCTTCCTACCAGTTAAATCTACATATATCTGTATAAACATTACATGTTTTTAAACATTTTTAAATTTCCTGCCCAAAATTGGTGAAGTGGCATCAAGGCACAAGAGGGCAGTGCTAAGCAGGAAGTGAGGTCATGATAGTGTTGATCCATCCACAGTGGGAATCCCTCAGTTAAGCAATTTTTCCATTTCTTTTTAGTCTTATATCTACAGTATATACAGAATCTGGCCTGACTGTGCGTCCGTATTCGTCTCTGTAGTTGTTCTCTAACCTGTCATATTCATGGTTGTTATAGCATGTGTAGCCACAGTTGCTGAGGAAGCATTTAAAGGTCTCGCCCAATCAGGATATATGTGTAGATTGAACATATGAAGACCCCAGGTGTTCATGGCCAGAGACACACAAAGAATTCCCAGGATGTTCATCACAAATCCTGTTTTAACCTGTGAATATCACACACACATCTTATTCGGCAACTGAAAACAACATGTGTGTGCTCTGATGTAATGTGTTTTTGTAGTTGTTTTCTCACCATATCTTTGACCATCAGGTGTCCGGAGGCAAAGGCGATTGAGTTGGGAGGTGTGGACACAGGAAGCATGAAAGCGTAAGAGCAACCAGTTGTTGCTGGGATCATGAAGTACAGTGGGTTGACGTTCACACGGATGGCCTAAAAATAAAGTATTTGGTGGATATAATGTCACAATGTAATGCTATATATGATTTTGTTTTCATTTTATAAACTATGCAAACATAAAATCATATATGCTTAATATTGGGACATTTAAGTCACACTTGTATGAATTAAATCACATTAGATAAAACATCAAATTAGGCGCCATCTTTAAATAAATGATGTTGGATGCTTTTAAAGCCATTTTTGCCATTTTAAGCAATGTTTTCATTTGTTTTTTTTAACTGGTTATTTATTAGTAAAACATTCTAAATTTAACATTCTAAAATAAAAAAGTCTTTAAAATAAATGTCACTTTATTTGATGGTATGGTGTGTATGGTATGTTATTTAGTAAGGATGCATTGATTAATTGATTAAAAGTGACAGTAAAAGGGTGTTTATAAACATTCTATTCATCAAAATATCACAGGAAAAAAAATAAATTTTGAAATAATAATAAATAAAATCCGACGATAGCTGCTCGCATCTCAGCATGTCTAACAGACATTTCTTGTTGGATGACGGACCTGCCGCTGCAAGAATAATTTTTAATGAGCCAAAAAGAACGCACGTCACACCTCTGTTCATCAATTTGCACTGTATACCAGTAGCTGATCGCATAAAATTCAAGGCATTAATGTTTGCCTACAAAACCACCACTGGCTCTGCACCCATTTACTTAAATTCATTACTTCAGAGTTATGTGGCCTCTAGAAGCTTGTGTTCTGCAAGTGAACGACAAATAATTGTGCCATCTCAAAGAGGCACAAAATCACTTTCACTGACTTTTTCATTAACTGTTCCCTCCTGGTGGAATGACCTGCCCAAATCAATCCAAGCAGTCCTTAGCCAACTTCAAGAAACGACTAAAATACATCTGTTCCATCTTTATTTGACCCTCTAACTCTAGCACTTTCTATTATATTTTAATTCTACTTTATTTATCTTTTTTTATTTAAAACAAACAACAACAAAAAAAACACTAGCTTTCTATTTTTT